TCATTGTGATTTAGAGTAGCAGGGAAGTCACTTCCAATGAAAGTCAACGGACCACTGGTGTAGCAGTGGGCCGGACCTCACGTGTGTGTGTGTGTGTGTGTGTGTGTGTGTGTGTGTGTGCACGTGCAATACAGCTAAATGGAATTTTATCTAAAAGTAATTAAATCAACATGATAGTGCAGGAGGAGTTCAAATCATACAAAAGCTGGTGGTAATTAAAATAAGCATATTTGGCCCCGTGAATGAAGCAAATATGGTAAAATTAGCAAAAAGATTACCTCACTTCTGTTTTGCAAATTATGCAAGATGCAAATGGGTTTGTGGTGTTTCAGGTCTGACTGTATAGAGCAGGCAGAAATGTGCACACACACTTGAGAGGCTTTGAAATACCTGCAGAAGGGCTGAGACTATAGCACTTGGAGAGCTTCTAACAGCCGTTGGCTTTCTGACTTGAGATTCGAAACGTTTTGAGGTCCAGGCGGTGAACAGAAGCAGGCCAGGTTCGGGGCTGTCGTCCCTGGGCCCTTCAGTGCTGCTGCTGCTGCTGCTGCTGCTGCAGATACAAGGAGCTGGAGGTGGAGGCTGGCAGAGCAGGCTGAATGCAGATAGGATCTCTGTGGGGGGGCGTGAATGTGTGATCGGAGACTAAAATCATTACAGTACGCCTGGTCACTGTGTCCTTGGTTCTTCCGCTGAGCTGAGGTTGATGCTTTCCTCTACTTTCCCCATCTGCTTTTTTCTCCCCTACTCCCGCTTTCCTTTTCCTTTTACAATTTTCCATTATGCATTTCTCTATGAAGTACAACACATCATTGGCTCCCAACAAAAACATGCTTTTTTTTATCACAAAACTTTTAAACAGGTCCTGCAGGTAAGACTCTGACTAGAATTTGTCTTCAGGCTATCACCTCTGTAACATCAGTGTTGACACAATCACTGATAATGCAGCAGAATGTTACAGGTACACTTTAATGCATCCATTAGTGTGCATTCATTTATAATTTCTATAATTTTTTCATATGGTCAATTATTAATTTATTGCATTCTGAGAGCTATCGTGAAGGTACTGAGCTCTCTGGTGAAATTGTTGGCAGCTTTTAAAGACATTTCATTGAAATGATTGTATAGCTATTTGTTTGATTTCTCTAAATGAGACCTTGGTGATGGCTTTCAGGCTCTCTCCCTTTCATTTCTGCACGTCCAGCTGAGCGTCAGCATGTGTGCTGAGTTCTAGAGGCATGTTAGACCATATGATACTGTAGGCTACATAATGCAGAATGGCAGTTTCCCTCCTCTGTGTGTCTGACTCCCTCACCGGCACAGCAGCTTTTATATCAAATCTGAAGAGGAAGGTGAAAAGGACCCCCCCCTCCCCACCCCACCCCACCCCCACTTGGACCACGAAACACTTGTTTGTTTTGTTATTTTTGGTTATTATCATAACTGTAAATACATAGGCCCTCTTTCTCCTGGTTCACCCCAGGTGCACTCATGCCCCCAGGCTGCAATGGCTGTCCAGAGAGAGAGAGAGAGAGAGAGAGAGAGAATTAGAGAGAGAGAGTGTAAACTAGACGCGCCTTCCTTGGGTCTCATTGGTTGAGTCTCTGCCTAGCGGTTTTGTCCTTGAGAATGTGCAGACACGAGGCAGATAATGTTCTGACACCAGAAACTCTAGACCGGGACCAGTTCAACACTTACTCCCTTCTTCTTCTACTTCTCTTCTTCTATTGTCTTACTATCCTGACATGCATTTTAAAGAACGGCAGCGTTTGTTGATGTTTTTGTGCGTCAAAATCACTTAGGTGTTTTTTTCTTCTTCTTCTTCTTCTTCTTCTTCCCCTTAACGCTGCACAAATCAGTGACAACAAAAAAAACTCTGATATTTTGTGCGCATATTTGCATGCAGCAACGATTAGAGGGAATACAGACTTCGAAAAAAGCGCCAGTGTGTTGACACATGGCGATCATAATTTCTATTAATGTTAACATAACAATATCACACCCGCAGGCGCGCACAGGGGATTATTTTGAAGCTGAGGTCTGGCTCAGCGCATTAGGCGACAGGGTCGGACCTTTTTTTTTTTTTTTTTTTTTTTAAGGACTCAAATTGTGTAACAACCAGAGCCGGATTGAGCCTTTAAGTGTATTCAAAGCCATGCATGTCAAAAAGCAAAAAAAAAAAAAAAAAAAAAAAAGAAGGAAACGAAATGTACCACTTAATGTAAATGTGAGGTTTTCATCTCTTCCCCCGGTATGATGCAAGGTCAAAGATCTCCTTTTACCGTGCGCTCCTGTGACGGCGGGGTTTCTGCAGAAGTCAGCATGCCAGCAGAGGCCAGCAAGCATGTGCAGGAATCTCCCTGCAGCGCCTCACAGAGCGGCCAGACCCTGGGATCTAATCACAGTAGGCCAGTAGGCTTTGATCCAAAGTCATTCTTAAGGCTGAAAATAAAATAAACGCCAAGGATGAATGAAATACAAACAATTTAAAGGTCGGCCCAAATGATTTCTTAGGAGAGAAGATAATTTCCCTAAAACTGCACAAAATTCTCTCTGTTTCTCTGTGACTGCTGTGGCTGCAATCGACAACCTCTTCTCTCTCTCTCTTTTTTTTTATTTATTTTTTTTATCATTGGCAGTAAGTGAGTGTGCCCTGGCGCTACTGTCGCTGCAGTGTGTGGGAATATTAATAACTGGTAATATGTTGTTACTGTGACTCAGTCTGGGCCTGGTTTTGTTATGATATCACAGATCTTTCCTATGGCGGCAGAAAGAAAAGTCTGAGAAGTAATTATTGCCATTTCAATGACTTTAATAAGCAAAATAGGAAACAATTTCTTCCAAAAACAACCAAAAAATAAGACAAAACAGAAACCAGCCTGAATGGAACAGTTCAAATTTAAGTGTTTAACTATTATTTATATAAACAGGATTGAAAATTGATCCCCATCATCGCAAAGTACACGGAAACGGCGAAAACATAACAACAACCCGCTGCTGCAGTTTCAGTTCCATTTCAACACAGTTGAATCAGTAATAAACCAAAGATTGTTAAATGCGTGACTTCTCAACAATAGGTTCAAATGCAAGCACCATGCTTATTCGATATGATCCAACAGTTTGTTAATTTAAATCATTAAAATAAAAACTTTTAACTATGCATCTGGCCAGCAGAACCAGAATCATCAAATAATAATAAAACAGACCAAAAAAAACATATTACATAACATACATATTGTTTTCATTTTGAGAATTTGCACAACCTGAATCCCCTTTTTTACTGACCGGCAGAAAAAAAATCAGGAAAACATAGAGCATTAACAGTCAAACTTTGTATTAAAACGCTTGTGTTATCTAAATATTAACTCTACATAAAACCCCTGACAAGTAAAGTTGTTGCACCTTTTTCTAAATATTGTTAAAAATATAAATCCTTAATATTAGGCCCAGTGAAAATGTGCTACAGGTGGCCGCCAATTGGAATGAGAGGATAGGTTTGGTTTGGGCTTGTTAAAGAGTTAATAGAAAGGCAGACGACACTTTTCTGAATTAGTGGCACAAAAGCCACGTTGATTTAAAACGACAGACAGCACTAACCCCACACTGTGTGTGTGAAACACTGTAGAAAACTTACTGCGCAAAAGCCTTTTCTGTGCACTCTGGGTGTAATAATATCGTGGCCACATGTTTGTCTCCTCAGTGTCACATGTGTCCGGATATTGCTCTAAAACTTCAGCACTTAGGCCTGTCTTGAATAATATTACAATATAGTATCATAGTATGTCTTCCTGGAGGGAGGTCTGCACAAAATTCAAAATGAAAACTTGCAAATCATTATCCAAAAGTGCACTTGACACACAAAGTTTGTTGTATTTTAAATGCAACTGAAAAAAATGCACTCCTCTCTAAATCAAGACCCCAAATGATAAAAAAAAAACAAAAAAACAAACGTAAAAAATAAATGAAATAAAAACACAACACAAAGAAAGAAAGAAGTTCAAACCAGCCTCCTCAATCTTGTTGTGCAGTTTTGCGGTTGCATAATATTTACAAGCTCAAAGAAACCCACACCATATGATACTGCACCGGCAGTCCTGCTGTTCTGTCCCCGCTGCAATTCTCTAACCCCCCAAAACTATGGAGAAGCGCAGATCAACAACATGCTCTTAATATACACGAGAAGATGAAAGTACAAAATAGAAATTATTACCGTACATGTCCAGCATGCAGGATTAATATTTAATGCAGTTTTTTGTTTCAATATATATTCGAATATAACCAAGCAGGCAATAAATCAATGAGATGTTGCATAAAATGTCCCCCCACCCACCCCCGTGACGGGTTAGTAGACAGAAGTTAAATTTGCATAAAGTTGGAGTCTCTGCTTTTTGGAGATTTTACTCAGATTACGGGGCCCACTTGTCTGAATGGTGAGTCTCATTGATGAGTTGCAGGCTGCCAGAACAGGCCTACTTGTTGTTCCATAACAGTGTCATCATTTTAGAGAACAAAATTACAAGACAACAGCCTCGACGCCATCCCACACTACTTACAGATCATTTAAAAGCTGTAGCCTCAAAAGAGAGAGAGAGATAGAGAGAGAGAGAGAGGAGAAAAACAAAGTTCATCAGCCGATCCTCTTCTTTGAAGAAGAAAAAGTCTCTTCACTAAAAGCAACTAATCTACAAAGATGCTGCGACTGATCAGACACTCTACGTTGCTCTTTGTATCTCAGTTGACACGTGGATGGAGAGATGGTTAATATATGAGAATACTATTTGATGGATTATTCTTCTAATATGAATATAATTGTTACCGTTATTCGTATAATCATAAACAGTATGGGAGGTGTGGATTATTATCGTTTGCTCATCAGCCAGTCAGTCACTTGTGGAGAAAGGAAAGGTTGGGGGTGGAGGGGGAGAGTTTGTTGTGAGGTTGGGTGGGGGGGGTGGGGGGGCGGGGGTAGGGGTTCACAAGAAAAGGCTATGACAACTCACATGAAAAACTCTGGTGATGAAGGGTTGTCACTGGTCGAGCCAGCCTCGCGGAACCCGTTACTGGCCCCCGACCCCGTCAGTTTCTCACACTTGAGTTTGTAGGCGTCCCTCTCCCGCGCCAGGCGGCTGATCTCCGCCTTCAGCTGCTCCACCTGGTTCATCAGCTGCGTCTTCTCGTTCTCCAGCACGTGCTTCTGCTGCACCCGCTTGAACCGGCAGGACTGCGCGTAGCCCCGGTTCTTCAGGGTCCTCCTCTTCTGCTTGAGGCGGATGACCTCGTCCTTGGTGAAGCCCCGTAGGTGTCTGTTGAGCTCCCTCACCGACATGGACACCAGCTGCTCGTCGGAGAAGCGGTCCTCCACGTTGAGCCCGCCCCCGGAGCTGTGGTGCCCCGCCGACTGGCTCAGGTGGCCGTGCGGATGGTGGTGATGGTGGTGGCGGTGGTGATGGAGCGGCTGATGGGAGTCTGGGGAGACCGGGGACGGGCTGTCAGGGTCCTGGCTGTGGTGATGGTGATGCTGGCTGTGTGGGTGGTTGTGTCCGCCCGGGTGCCCGGACAGTTCGTCGGCGTGGTGTGGGATGCCCCCCGCGTATGGGTGATGGTGCTGCTGGCCGTGGCCGTGGTGGCTGTGGTGGTGATGCGGGCCCCTGTAGCCCTCGAAAGCGCCTTGCTGCTGCAGCTGCTGTTGCACATGCGGAGGCGGAGGGTGGCCGTGAGCTGTGGCTCCAATCAGGGCCTCCACCGCGTCCTCTGGGGTCAGGCTTAGCGTTTGCGGGTCTATCTGCTGGTGGTACCCGCTGTTCGGCATCCAGTACAGCTCCTCTAGGTGGTTTTTCTGCTCTGTGGGGCTGAAGCTGGGTGAAGAGGGCACCGAGCTGCAGGGTGTACTGATGGGGGTGGACGACACAGAACCTTGGGGTTGGAGGCGGTTACACTGGCGCACCCCGTTGCGCTCCAGCCCGGCCAGGCCTTCCTTCTTCACGTCAAACTTCATCAGGTCAAAATCATTGACATATTCCAGAGCCAGAGGGCTGCTGGGTAGCTCCGGACCCATGCTCAGCTCTGTACTCATGTTGTTGTCGCGACTCTTTTGCAGATATGCAAAGGTACTTGCAAGCGTCGCAAAAACTGACTTATTAACCAGCGTCTCTTCTCTCCTTTCTTGTTTCATGCAATAGTTCTTTTGGCTCCTCCAGCGCTGTGCACTGACTTGCTGTAGCATGAAACACCGTGTGATTGGTGGAAAAAAAAAAAAAAAAAAAAAGGAAAACGAAAAAAAAAGTAGTGGAGGAAAACTTTCAGACTAATGCTCTGCACACGATTTGCGTCATATAGCCTACTTCTGCTGGGATAATCTGGCAGAGAGACCAGGCAGGAGGTAGAAAGCAGTGCGTCTCAGTGCAAAAGTAAAAACCTCAGTCCCTTCAGTAGAAGTGAATTCACACACACAAAAAAAATCAACATAAATAATAATTATAAAAAAGAAATACCACGTTTGTTCGCTGAGACGGGCACCAGTCCTCGTTGCAACTTCTTGGTTGTAAGTCCCTTTTTTTTCTCCAGGAAAATAATAGGAGCAAATAAGCAGAGTAAATAGGGCGTCTGATTTTCGCTGAGAAGCAGCTTTTCCAGCTCTGCACCGCAGAGATTCAAAGGCTCGCCTCTCTCACTCGCTCCCACTCTCTGGTATCCAGCAGACTGCGCTTGGAGCCTGCCAGCGCTTTATCCTTATAGCGCGCCGTGACGTCGAGCCGAAAGGCTGGATCCGGAGCGCTCTTCCAATCGGAGCGGGACTCTGCGCTGAAATAGAGGAAGAGGAGGAGGAGGAGGAGAACGGAGAGGAGAGGAGAGGAGGGCGCACAATACGGTCTTGACAGCTTCAGACAGTCAGCTGACCGACTTCCCTAAAAGCAGGAGGTGGGAGGAAAAGTAGAGGAGAGAGAGAGAGAGAGAAATGCCTTCACTTCACGGACACTATACCCGCGGATCTTTCGCGGCACTTTCAGATGTGAATGAGAGTAATGTGAGTGAGTTAAAGGCTTCAGTGCTCAGTGGAAATATCATTGCACAACACTCCCTTAGAAAACTTAAGAGTTTAACATAATGTTCAATATCAACACCTCAGTTTAGCCTGTATAACGTGGAGAATTCTGGCGATTACTGTTGTCTCCAAATGCACATTGATTCATTGTCCTGAAGAAAGGCTAGGCTATATGTCTATATGTGTCATGCCTTTAATGTTGCGACAACATTATTGGTCATCAAAGTGCTGGGAACATCTTGGTATGTTTTGATCTTTCTTAATTATCTTTGGCGATTCAACTATAATAGAATAAACACATTTATTTGTCTCATCACACCTTATCTTTATTGTAATGCCCCTATAAGTGTAGCTCCATAACAATCCAGAAGACAACCAGTCACCACTGAGGCTGAAAAGGTCAACAACAAAGTGAGATTGTAACACAATACATCAAATTTTTAACAGCGTTGAAAAGTTGAATCTTGACCTTTCATGCAAACAAGGACACACAAGTTTGTGTTATCCCGCTGTTAACGTCGCAGACACAAACACACTTGGCTTACAGTCACATTTGGAGGTGTAGGCGATATTCCACCCACATAATCAACAGTCACTATAAAATCCTATATAATTCTTAGCATTACTTATATGTTTGATCCTCGGTGGTGACGATATGGTGACCTCGCTGCGCTGAACTTCATGGATTCAAAAAGAAAAAAAAACAAATTGATATAATGCGACCACAGCACTCCTGCGTGTATTTATGTAACCTTGTGTTATAATCATTATGGGTTAAGTGTAATTCTTTCTGGTGAAAGCAAACTTGCCGTTGCTCAGAGCCTGTTATTACTCCCAGGTTCCCACATCAGGCTCCTCTCTTGGCTCGGACAGTTTGTTTTACACCGGGCAGCATCACAACAGGGGATTCACTAGAAAAGAGGCTCAAGGCTGCCCCTGCGTGGGCAACACAGGAACCGGTGAAGCTGCTCAGATGCTGCTCATATAGGCTAAAGATTTCCATTTATTTGGCGCTTGGAATTTTTTCTCTCTCCGCGCTTATTGCTCGTTTTAAAGGTCACATCCTGCAATTATGACTGACAACAATTAATCTCTGTCATTTGAGTCTCATAAACACACAGCCGTCACACGTTTAATCGCCTCACTGACACTGTCTAACAGGTAGTTTGGCCAAAACGGGATCAGATCCTGCAGGGTGTGTGTGTGTGTGTGTGTGTGTGTGTGTGTGTGTGTGTGTGTGTGTGTGTGTGTGTGTGTGTGTGTGTGTGTGTGTGTGAGAGGAGAGAGAGAGAGAGAGAGAGAGAGAGATCATTGATCTAATCTGTATTTTAATTGTCCGAGGAGACAAGAAAAGGAGATGTGATGTGAGCAAATGTCTCGCTTCCCTGCAAAAAGAAACTGCTTGTAAATGAGTCAATTGGAGAGATCGATTGGATTATCATTTCGTTTCCACCTCATATCCACGGTTGAGCACAGCCGCGACCAGAGCCCATTGATCAGGCTGGGTGTAAGAGGAGGCTGCCAAAGATGAGATCCGATAACGAAGGGCTTATTTGTTTAGTTAAAATTCTTTATCTGTTTGAGTTGCGCAGCAGTGTATCAATAGATGAACTCTGAATCCCACTCATGTCATAAATCAATACTCACCCTCACAGAGCCTTATATCCTAATATCCTGCTTTATACTTTTAATTCCAAGTCATAGTTGCTGCAAGTTTGTTTTACACAGCTGTGGAAGTAAAAAAAAAAAATCTAAAATCATAAAATTAAAAACTGTAAAACATTTTACAAAGAATATTAATAGTTTGATGATGCACCTTTCAAGCAAACAACTTTACACAAACAGCAGGATGATTTATGACTATCACTTACCTGTTTGTCACTGCATATTATTTTTATTATTAGTATTAGTATATATATTATTAGGCTATTATTATAAGATTTTACGCGCCTGCATTATTTTGAACCAAACTTACATTGTAATTATTGGCTATTTTGATGCGAGGATTATTCAAGTGCACTTTAAAGCCAGTCCTGACTATTTATTCCTCATGATTTTTAGCTTTAATCGAGAAACAATGGTCATTTATCCTGAACCTCAGACACTCACTGCTTTTTCATTTTCAGCCTCAGATCGCCTGGATATCACCTTTTACTGATAAACTCAAATACAAATTCAAGCCAATTTTTTATTTTTTTTATTTTTTTTTTTTTGCAGCCCAAAATCAGAAAAGTGCAGGTGGCGTGTGAAAGTTACAGCCATCCTCTTTTTTTTTTTTATATTCCCTGAATCTGCAGGCGTGCTTCTCAGTTCTCAGCTCCAACTTCAAAAGCGCCCTGAGCGAGTCGTGCCGTGCCGAGCCGAGCTGCTCTGAAACCTCTTCCCAGCGAGGCCGACCCGGCGGCAGCCCCCATTAGGTCGTAATGCTCTCTAATATAGCCCGAGCCCGCCGTCTAATAGATCCAGGCAGGCCTGCCGGCGGCTCTCCCCCTTCGGTAATAACGGGCTGTAATGGAGAGACGAGATGTAAAAAAGCGTCCATGTCAGCAGCATATCGGTGGTTAATGATCTATTAAGTGATCCGTGTGCTTATGGACAGCGAAAAAAAGTGTTGATGCTTGCTTATTCGCCCCCTAATGAGAGTCCCATCCTACGGATTTTAGGAATGAATAACAGAAATAAAATCACCTTTAAAATGTTACATTTAACAGTTGACGCATTGGAGGCTGCAGTAGCTGCAGAGCTTCCCACAGCTCACATCTCACACCTGCAACAGGCCCGCTGGTTTCACACAGGAGGCCCGTGTTGTGTCTACGGGAAGAGACATGATTCCCCTCACAAATATGGATTTCTATTCTGCTCCAGGACTTATCCATACATGTGCACCTTCTGTCCGGAGGCCGGGCTGCACTGCCAAAACCCCTTGGATCTGTGTGTTTGCTCGAACTCCGGGAGGATGAAGTGACTATAAGGATTACTTTTTCTTTTTCTTTTAGAGCCAGAACCAGACTTTCTGTCTCACTCTGAGGAGAACTAATGGTTGTTTTATTTGGTGGTGTTTCGGCCGTTTGGCGTGCGTAATGATGAACTCTAATGGTCCTCCCCGCGATCATTCCTGGAAACGCTGCAGAACAAAACGGGGAGGTAGCCGAGTTGGAGGGCCCGTGAGAGGGAGAGTGAGGGATGGAGATGGGGGGACGGTGCTTTCGGAAGTGCAGCTTTGATGGGCTTTGACGCAGGAGGGAGCGAGGAGACGCGCAGAGCTCGCGCACCCCCGGCTTCAAGCTCCAAAAACTTTTGAACGTAACCGCTTTCATTACACACTAACTTGTGATTTTAAAACGTAGACTATTACAACTAACTTTTCACTTGGAGAACTAATAAACGTAGATGTGAAATATCTCAATACGATATATAAAGCTGGTTAATGATTTATTTGAATTCAAGCCTATAGAACATAACTGGCAGAATATGTTGAAATAGATCCGTTGTCAATTTGCCATTAATTCACATTTGATAATCACCTAATTATCGTTGAATTATCTACTGAAATTTCACATCTTCAACATATTTAAAATGCATTTTATCACTACAGCTGTATCAACTGTATTTCCACACTGCGTGAACAGGTGTTCCCATAAATTAACTAACTTTTTTCCAGCATAAAATAATAGTAATTACACCATAAAAAAAATGACTGAGCAGACATGTTTAATGCAGTTTGCACGGGCTTCTAAAATCACCCCCCCCTTTTGCATCATTAATCTCACATCTTCCGTTTACAATGTGCAGTTACTCAGGCATTCTTGTTTACTCCAGACTGATCGATTATCTCTGTGAAAACATGTATTATTAAGACGCGTCGTCTGTGTAAACAGGCAGAGGCCAGTCTCTGAGCAAAGCTAACGTCCTTATCAGGAGTAATTGACTGAGGAGTCTTTCGGGAAAACGACATGAGGTGAGATAAGTGCAAATTCTAGCAATCTCATTAATATGAAAAAAGTATCGATTTAACACTGAAAACCAAATGTTTATCTTTAAACAAAAAAAAACAACCAACAACTAAAAACTAAAAAAATCCACTCTGCATGTTCTCTTCCTCATGCATACGCCTACTTTTGACAGTCATAATTCTTCCCCAGTGTTATCACAGCAGTTCCACTCAGCATTTACCCGGTGA